TGAATCTCATAAATCTAATCAATCTAATAAATCTAAATAAATCTCATAAATCTCATAAGTCTAATAAATCTCATAAATCTAATAAATCTAATAAATCTAATAAGTCTAATAAATCTAATAAATCTAATAAATCTAATAAATCTAATAAATCTAATAAATCTAATAAATCTAATAAATCTAATAAATCTAATAAATCTAATAAATCTAACAAATCTAACAAATCTAATAAATCTAATAAATCTAATAAATCTAATAAATTTCAAAAGTTTCAAAACTCTAAAAGGATTAATTTTTTTTAAAAAAACTTTCAAAAATTTAATAAATCTCATGAAGAAAAGAGAAAGAAAATATAAAAAGTCAGATTTATTATTAGTATTATTAGTATTATTAGTATTATTAGTATTATTAGTATTATTAGTATTATTAGTATTATTAGTATTATTGGTATTATTAGTATTATTAGTATTATTAGTATTATTAGTATTATTAGTATTATTAGTATTATTAGTATTGTTGTATTATTAGTATTATTAGTATTATTAGTATTATTAGTATTATTAGTATTATTAGTATTATTAGTATTATTAGTATTATTAGTATTATTAGTATTATTAGTATTATTAGTATTATTAGTATTATTAGTATTATTAGTATTATTAGTATTATTAGTATTATTGGTATTATTAGTATTATTAGTATTATTAGTATTATTAGTATTATTAGTATTATTAGTATTATTAGTATTATTAGTATTATTAGTATTATTAGTATTATTAGTATTATTAGTATTATTAGTATTATCACAAGCTATTAATGAAAACAATTTGAAGTCTATGAATTCATACAGTTTCAAAATTATTAAAATAATCAAAAAGAGAAAAGAAATTCTATGGATCTGTAGTCTGAAATTTTGTTTTCCCCGACGGCTAGTATTATTTCTCTTCTCTTAACAAAATGATCAGAGACTTATTTATAAAACAAAAAAAAATTATAAAAATATATATATTCTTTAAATATATAATCAATTATACTAATCATTTTAACTAGCCTTTAAATATAAATTGAAAGCTTGATTTTTAACTTTAGTTTTAGTTTTTTTTATTCATAACTACAATCATTAATAATAACTTCTTCTTAGTTCATTTATTCCTCATGATTAAAAATCCGATACTTGATAAAAAGATTGATTCAATCTACAATTTATATTAAAATTTAATATCATATATTGTACAATTGATTCATTATTGATTTATAAAACAATTTTATTATATTAGAATCGCTATAGATCAGAATTAGTACCATTAATCATCTTAGGATAATCGGTAGAATTTTCCTAATAGCTAGTAGATATAATCATCGAAATATTAATTAGAGAAAGACTTTTAATAATCTCTATAAATTTTAGTTGAAAGATAAAAATAAGTTCATGTTTAGTAAGTAATTTTCAATCCCAATATTAAATAAATATAAATCGAAATAAAACTTTTACTTAATATAGAACTATAAAAAAGGTTTTCTTAGAGAATACGTTTCTAGATTTATAGAAAAATACATTATTTTTGACATCATTTATATTACTAAACTTAATTATCTCTACAAAAATTCAAAATCAATATTAAACATAATATAAACAAAATATTAGATAGCTAATATACACTTTATATATGATATTCAAATTCTAAAATCAAACTAAAGCTTTTAATAAAATAATTTCTTAGATCTCTAAAATTAAGTCATTTGATTTTTACGTTTTAAGTCTATTTATTTTATTCTATTCTAATTCTATTTTAATTCTATTTTAGTTTTAATTCTATTTTAATACTATTTTAGGAAGCAAAGAAAAGCTATTTTGTAGCGTTCTCATTACCTTAACAGAACAAGCAGGGAGATAATACGGTGGAAGTACGGTACTAGTACTAATAGAGTGATATTTCCATCTTACTAGTAGTATTTCTATAATTCCTGAACCCCTAAATAGTACTCATAGTACTAATACTAATAGAATGGTATTTCTATGATTCCCGAATTCCTGAATGGTATTCGAACCTCTGAATAATACTTGAATAGTACTAGTACCATACTCGAACCCCTATACCATACCCGGCTAAAAACTTAGAGAAAAAAAGCTTTCGATCAAATTATATTAAAATTAATATTAAATTAATTATATAATATAACAATAATATTAAAACTCTAATATAATAATGATATAATAAATTTTATAATATTCATAAAAAAAGAAAGAAAAATCAAGGTTTATTTAATGCTAGTTTTATACCCTTGAAATTCGATTTTTAATATTATTTCAGGAATTAATATATATCATTTAAATTATTCGAATTTAATAAAATATATATTCATAAAACTTTATTCATATAATGATTTCGAATTTATAAAATTTATTATATTAAAAATAAAGCTCTAATATAATAAATTATAAGATTGTATAAAAGTTGATTAATAAGCAACCTATATTAGATTTTTTAATTATATTTTTTGTATTTTTTTGAATAACAACTTTTTTTTGCTTAAATCTATTTTAAAAAATTACTAAGTATTTAATACTATAGACTTATTAAATATTATTTTTTTAGGCCTATATTATAAGCCTTATAAGAACTAGCTTTCAAGTTTATAGAGACTAGCTATAGAGGTTTGAATCTATAGTTTCAGAATTCATAGGAATTAGCTATAGAGATTTGAGCCTATAGTTTCAGAATTTATAGAAACTAGCTATAGGAATATATAAATAGTACTTTGATAATACACCAAGCCCAAACAATACTTCTACTATATCAAGATTATATACAATACTTAATCAAAATACAGTTCAGACATTATATCCTGTGGGGATACAGTGGGGGTACCGTTCCATATTCCCACTTGGGCCATTAAGGTACCTCTATTAGTAGTCTATCTTAGAAAGCGTACTACGATACCAATAACATCATTTAGATGCTTGCCGTCGTTAACATATTACATTAAATCTACAACTCGTAAAGTGTCGAATATTGTCTTAATATATAAACCAAAATTCTTGAACATCATTCTAGTCATCATGTATTAAACGATTAGAACAGGTAAATTCCCAACACACAAAATGCTAAACCCAGTCACATCCCTTAGAGAATTGAGTATGAAAAAAAACTCAGACAAAACACTAGAGGGTCTCCCTGAGACCCCCGTCAACCGAGTCGGAGAAGAACTTTCCATTGACAATAGCATTAAAGATCGAGTGATCTAGTGATTAACATAAATGTAGTGATATAAATATAGTGACATGAATGAAATACGAGCAAAATTGAAATCGAATTTTGAACACCATTGTGAGTTGAATGGATGTAACGGCTCTCCTACTTTCGTGATTTGAATGACTGTAATTTCTATGGTTTAATACAGTAATCGTGTACAGATAATAGCCGATCACCTAAATCACACCAAAAATAGCGATTTACTATATTTTGCATAATCATTTATTAATATTTATAATAATTTTTTTCAATTAAATCTTTTTATATTTATTATTTATATAATAATAATCTATATTCCTAGTTTTTTAAATCTTAATATAAATCATATAATTAGAAATTTGTTATTAAAATAATAACTTATAAAAGTTTTTTAAATTTCGCTTATTTTATTAGTAAATTCTGGAATTTTCAAATTTCTATATTTTAAATCTATATAATATAATCATTTAAAATTTTAAAAATAAATTACAAATTTTTCTGAAATCGATAATTGAAAATAAATAAATTCATATAAACAAAAATTACAATTTTTTATTTAATTATATTGAAATTTATTGATTTTAATAATAAGTTTTGATGTGATTTGAGTGATCAGCCACTATCTGTGTCCTAGTACTGTATACATCAGCAATTAAAGGTGGTAATCTTTATATGACATGCATGTCGAAATTAGTTGACAAGTCATGCACAGTAAATAGCAATCAACCATATGAAAAGATATGACCACTATCCTATAACATCAGCTGTTTTACATTTCATTTGCCCTTCCCTTAGACGTGAAAGTGGTCTTCAAGTGATTAATCAAGGTCATGCTTTGGTTACTGCATGTGGAAGAAATGCCCCGACACAACGATAGAAGTCTAGTATCTGAGCTGACTAACTCCCTTACAAACTCCACGATTTTTCATGTCATTGCCGTCAGATATTATGAGCATAAGCTCCATTTTCTAGTTTTCTGTTGTAAAGATTCTATGGGGTATTTATCTTTACTAGCTCGTTTCGACATTTTAACCCACCTCTTTCCTCCACAGACACTCTCTTCAACCTTTCTCTAAATGGTCCCAAGTTTTCTAGTAACTACAAACTACTGACCCTTTGCTTCCCAAGCCGACAAATTCCCTGCGACTCATATTCCATTGATGGGAGTGTCTATTCACGATACACGAGATTATTAGTGACGAGTAGCTGTATGATATACAGTCAGAATGACAATATGGATGATAAGGTCTAGTGTATCATTGTGCTTGTAGAGGGCTGTTCATTCAAAGTAAGATAATTTGCTAATATAGTAGCTCAATGAGTTTGCGATAAAGCTTGAATGTTATAGGGCTCTACAAATAGTGCTCTTGTCTATGCTAAATTGTCTTATCAATACCTCTGAATTGTTTTCGCATGTGACTCATTATCTTCCGTACATGATTCATCCGTATTACAAGTGCCATCACAATGATTATCTATGAATCTAATAGAAGTAAATCCTAGGCGTATATAACACCGGCAAGCCTCCTCATCAAATTCTGGGTTTGTGGCCGTTTAGATCAAAAACCTCTTCAAATTTGTCACTAGAAGAAATTATCAGAAAGCTGATTCTATCTTGACCGACCAAAATTCGAAAGTTGAGCGAGCGAGCTTCTTCACAGCCAGCTTGATTTAAGGAAACAATTGAATTACATTATCATTGAGATCAGACAAATCCTCGTTACGAAAATTTCCCAAAGGCCTTAGAAACACGTCCAGTAATAATTTCCAATGTCTCAACATTCAGTTGCATCTCCAACCTATCTGAGGGCGCAAATATCCGGAAAGCGATTACTAGCATATGTAAAGAGTAATGATCCACGAAAAAATGATTACCCAAAACAAAGCCTACTTAATCACCAAGCTTTGCTGGACAGCAAGTGGGACGACCAGGAAGAAACCAATGAAGCCATGAACGTGATAGGGCCACTATTTGTGTATCTCAATGCTCTGAATATCTCCACAGATATCGAGTCATGGGATGGATTTGAGATTAATTTGAAAAAGAAAATTCTAGACCCTAGGGTAAGTTCTCTTTGATTAACACTGTCAAAAGTTCTGGTTGCTTTGTGCTTGATATCCTGGAATTACCGAAGAATGTGATATTCAAGTCAAATTACGTCGCTAGAGAGAACTTTTAGTTTTTCCAATCACCGAGAAAGCCTTTCCCCAAAACAGTTAATCTTTATATTGGTATTTTGGTTCATGAATACGGACGTGAATTTGTCACGTTCGACCTCCTCCCCTATTTAACCGAAACTCTACTTTCATCTCAATATCAGATGATTATCAGTTTCTAAACTCTTCGATATCAAAACAAGAACACCACAGAGTTTCATTTTTCAAGGAAATAAGCTAATAATCTTTTGCTTCAGCTACCAATACCTCATTATGATTTAGCCATGAACTTTACGGTAAGCGGTCACGACGTATCAGACGAAGCTTTCCATAGCTAAGCTTACCAGCGTACTAGATTGTACATTGACTGACACAAGAATATTTTAGCACGGCGTCATAGTAGCATACGACTCCATGAGCCCGCACCAAGTAGCGTTTCTCAAAGACATCAAGTCGTCCATCATCCCCGACCTCAGTCGATGGTCAGATATTACATATTTGAAATGGGCTGAGGTCTGCAAGTTTCATGGCACTGAAGTGAGCAATTTGAACTACGTCATCCAACACCACGTAACGAATCAAATAACATTGGACGTCATAAAAGAGGTGCTGAAGAAAAGAGGAGAATGGCTCGCGCCATCGGGATGTGTGGTGTCAATGGGGGATAGCAATGGTCATGGTGCTGCATTATTAGGCACCCCGAATGGAAAAGGAGTTGTTTGGCTCCTGGCTCAACACAAGGAAGCTTTCAAGAGCTTGACCATTATCAGTGTGGAGATATTTTCGTGCAAACCTGCAAATAACGAGTACGAGACAAAACTTGAACATCTATCCGATAAGTCTTCGTGGTTCAACCTCTGTTTTCGAATGGGCCAAGAATGATCCAGACTCTACTTCTTCGTCACCTGACTGAAATCGGCTCGGACATTCGGAAATGTAGAAATAATGAAGGAATAAAGGGGATTTTGATATGAAGGAGAGAGTTTCGACATGGAAAGGGAATACATGCACGGAGTTTCTAGATTGAAACATTAGATAAAATGCACTGTTCATTTCCAAGATCAGATTACCAACGAGAATGAATCAGTATTCAATAAAGACATTCCCGTATTCAGTTGTCGCAGTATCCCGCCAGTCCATACAACCAGTGGAATCTTCCTCTTATCCGAATTATGCATTCGCCAAAGAATGGTGAATGTCACATTTCAAATATCAAATGAATAATACCACGGACCAGTAGTCGAAATTTGTTCTCAGTACTGAATTTTTATTTTCAAAAGATTGGATCTCATTTTAACTCTTGACTAATCTCATCACACTGATATTAAGCCCTCCCTTTCATATACCAGCCCGCTAGCTATCGGCTCTCAGGTACGTTCTTTTCCGAATTGTTTTCCGTCTCAAGTAAAAAGAAAGAGTGATACAAATCCAGAAAACACCATCCATCCAACCATCCAATGCAGAAATATACGCCTAAAAACTTCGAGATTAATTTCAAATATTCCCCTCCCCGACAGAATCGCTCACATGCGCGCAAATGCTAAGCACTCCTCTGCCCCTCCCCTTTTCCCAAACCATATTCAAACCTCCCCATCTCTCCATTTTGAAATCCCCGATATTCCTATCCGTCTTCATCTACATAGCAGCTAATTCAGAATCAATACTCCTGTCCAAAAACGTCCTCCTCTCACCGACCAACTCCGTCTGCAACCTCTGTTCTACCAAAGCTCTAACCTGTTTCTTCGTAACATTATCTAGATCTACCTCCCTCAAACAATTTTGAATGGCCTCTACAATCTGCAAATCATCTGGACCGGCAGTACCTCTTTGGAAATCAAATCCACTGGCAGGTCTATCAATCGCAGCTCCCGCTAATGGTGAGCGGGCACCACCTGTGAAGCCAAGCGACGAACGTGATTGATGTCGTCCTTGACCACCACCGAGAAGATTGTCAGAAGACATCATTTGCATCGAAGGACGGTTGTTGCCAGGATAGTCTTGATATGGCGAGGCGGAACGATCTTGTTGGCGAAGAGACATTGCAGATTGATTGCGGAGAGGGTGATCGGTGTATTGGTTTGCGGAGTAAGTAGATTGAGGAGGCATGTATGGACCGCGACCAGGGAAACCGGTCAAAATAGTGGAGGCTGGCTTGACAGATGAGTACATGGATTTCATGTCATCCATTTCGTATTGATCATCGAATGTATCATATGCCTTTTCAACTGCTACTCCGCGACGGCCTGGAAGGTTGTTGTGTAAAGCGTAATCATCCCATCGTTGAAGAGGAATGCTTCTTGGGTCAAATGTTTCGCCATCCACGGCCACAACCTTCGCAAGTCCCTTTTCTCCCAGGACAATACGTGTGTTACCCCACGAGAAGTTGTCTTGGTTCCAGAATGAGTAGATTGGTAGAACGAATGAGTAAATTGGGAACGCAAGGATATAAATAATCATCCATCCAACGTGTTGCCATTGGCGTTTGAGAATAAATATCAAAGCTTGTAAACCATATGTACCAGCAATCATACAAATCGAAATGAGGGGAAATTGACCTTGATGCGTTCCGACTTTGTACAACAAATATCCTAGATAGACTGTAGTAGCAGGAAGAATAATTGTACCGAAGAGATCGATGAAGACAACGAATCTCATGCTGAAACAACAGAATCCACACAGTTCAGGAAGCCAGACCAACTCAGCTAGATTATGGATGGTAGAATTGATCCAACGTCTTCTCTGAGATAGAAGAACACTCCAGGTTTCGGGCGCGGAAGTACTGGCGTATGCATCGGGAATAAACTTGTACTTCATATATGGGAAGTGTTTGGTCATCAATGTGGTTAAGAACCGATCCTCTCCAAGAGACAGAAGATTCTTCTTGTGTAAAGTATCAACCACACACTCACTGTACTCGTTGATGATGGCATCAGCGATGATCAATGGTTTGCCTTTATCAGCGGTACGTAGACGATACATAGTGAAACTATAGAGCAAGTATTAGTATGCTGCATGTAATGAGTAGAGGCTTAGAAAAAGGATTACTTACCAACCAGGTAAACAAGTGACACTTCCGAATAGAGATTCGAAGGCCTTTGCCAAATGATGCGAGATGAAATATTCGTAAACTTGAATCATAGTCCACCAAGAACGTTCCTCGTTTTCGAGATTGGTTTCACCACAAATACCAGCGATTTTACCATCATTGGAACAGGCAGCCACGAGACGATTCAGCGAGTCTTCCCTTACACTGGTATCGGCATCAATCATAAGTAGATATTCGTAAAGCTCTGGATCCACTCCAATAATGTTGTTGATTTGATGGAACATTTCCAGCTCCAATGGGTTCATGGGTGCTCTGTGATGGACGCGATTGAGGAAGCTCATGAGAAGAATTTGAGTGTCACGTTTTCCACGGTTACCGGGCTTTGACTTGGATTGCTCGGATTCCTTGCCAACCTTGACCACTACAATATATGGGACCACATTTCCTTCAAATTCATATAGACCCGAGTATACCTTACCATAGTTGAGTTGCTCGTTGCCATCTCCGACGGATTTAAACGGCAAGGCGGGAGGGTCGATCTTGGGATCTACACCAAGAATATCGAGGATGATCTTTGGTGTGGGGCGATCATTACCACCTCCTACAACCATACCATCACAAACGACACAGATGAGCTTCCTTTTATTATCGTATTGTAAAGCTGTCAAAGAATCCAAAGCTTTACGCAATGAGTCTTCACCTTCGGTATATGCTGGAACTTGGCAAATGACAAACTTGTCTTGAGGAGTTGGACGTCGCTTCGAACCAAATTGAAGTGCAGAGACGAACTTGATGACAATGACACTACACAACACAATTGTGAAGGCAAGAAGAATGTAGTTGTTGATCTGACATTTAATGGAATCTCGAAAATCGGGAATGCCTGCATAGAACAGATTGTTCATGCAATTCAAGTTGTTGAGGATACTCACTTGATAAGATGAATTGGCGTTTTTGTAATTATCATCCCATGTGCTCGTGATATCTAGGCCCGGGTTTCTGAGTACCATTTGATAGATGGAATCATCAATGAAATCATAGCCGGCCACATTCGTATAGAGACTTAATGTGTAGTAATAATTGGTGAAGTCGTAGATCTTGCCCTTTAGAATGACCCAATAATGCTGATCGTTTTGGCCTTCACTATTGATCGCACTGTTCTTCACCACTAGATCACCATGGTAATACTCTTTGATTGCAGGTGTGTACACGTCCGCATACCAATTCCAGTCATAAAGCTTACTGGTTGTATACGCTGAGCGATTGCCAGATGTATGGACTCCGGCAGGATATTCAGCAGTAGTGTTGTCCAGTAGTACCAAGGTGTAGTCGGTCACAAGGCCAGGGCATGCAACAATCAATGGTGGCGGGAAGTAGCTGTCCAAGTTCAAACCAGCAAAGGGTTGCATGACATCGGAGGTTGTCGTGACAGAGGTATCACTATGCTGCAACTTCCAGAACTTGGAAAGATCATATACTTTTCCATGAATGCTGACCCAAAAATCGTTATCTCCTTGATGAGTGGCGACTTCTTTCGCATTCCATGCTTTATCAGAATTTGGACAGAGGAGTTTGCCAAATTCAATAATCCAGAAAACAACCAAGCAATTGAGGAAGAGGATAAAGAAACACAACACTAGCTTTTCTCTCCAAGCCATGCGTACATCTGGTCGTTTCATCCGACCGATAAATGAGAGGAGGAACGAAGGAATCCACCATGTAAGAGCCCAGGTAGTGGCGACCCAGATACGACGCTGGTTTGTTGCCTTTTCATTAACAACAGCTTTCGCGGTGCCACCTTCGGGGTCATCCACCATTTCTCCATTCTCATCGGTGTAGTAAACCTGCCCCCTCATATCATCTCCCTTGAAGCCGAGTCCATAGTCACCACCACTGACATTCCTCGATGGTGTGATAGTGGGAGCTCCGAGGTTACTCCGAGCTACGTTGGCTTGACTTTGACGATTCATGATATTATCGTGACTTCCCAGAGGAGTCAGATCATTATTAGGACCAGCAAAGAAACCGCTTCCACTTGGTGGGTTGGAGGAGTATCCTGTATTCATGTCGTGGGCTCCCAGCATGCCTGCCATACCTCCGGGCCCGCCCATACTTTGGAACTCCCCTTCGGCTGGCTTTAGGTCAAGCATGGTCTCAGCTTCCCACCAAGCGCTCTCGCGGATCCATATTCGCTCTTTGCCGATGACAACTTCACCATTGCTCCAACCACGTTCCATGACCCAGCTTTCAATACCATCACGCCCATCCTTACAACCAAGGGGGGCATATCGTTGGACGAATTCTTCGAAATCGAAATCGGCTGTGAAATCCAAGTTCTTGTTTCGTCGATTTGCCCATTCTGGCAAGCGCCATGCGCGAAGCTGGCGTGAGACGGCACCCGCTGACCAAGCCGAAGTTGTTGAAGGAAGCGAAGCTAGCGCTGCAGGTGAATCGTCGGTAGGATGCATAGATAAGTGATACCAGACACGACTGCTACCAAGAACGGAAGGGAGATCAATACGACCGTTGCGGCCTAGATTAATACCTTGACCCTCGATTGGGAGCAGAAGCTTCTTGAGGAAACCATCATCTTCCCCCTCACGGGCAACCTTCTCCAATACGATCTCACGCTTCTCGAGCTCGTGTTCACGATCTCTCCCAGAAGGTCCAGTCATGATACCAAGATCTGGAGCAACTTCCGAGACAGCATTTTGCATCTCTCGGATAACAGTTGAACCAGCAGAAACCACATCAACACCATCTTCTTTCATTTCGGCATTGATACCCTGAGTATCGTCAAAGACACCTCGCATTGCAGCTGCTTTCCCAAGATTTGGATCTGGAATCTCAAGAACAGTTATGCAAACAGTGTCACCATTGTCGTCTTCGGTATTTGGGGTTCGAGCTCCTGGTCCCCCTTCGCTGGAAGAATCACCATCCTTGATTCTGGTCATCTCACTAGCAATGGCTTCATTGGCCTTCAAGATGACCCAGTCTACAAGGGCTTCATAGAGACCACCAATCAAAGTTTCTCGCTCTTGTGTTGAGCATTGCTTGACGAGAACCTCGGGCTCCAAACCAAGCAGACCCCCGACATCTTCACAAATTTCCTCCAACGCATCTCCATCAAGAACAAAGCTCAAGGTATCACCTAGCTTCAATAATCCTGCTAATATTGAGATGAGATCTCTGTGTGCGGCACCCTTGATGCCAATAGCTTTTAATGATGCTCTGAAGTCGTCTGCAGCAGCAGCGTCATCCGCGGTGGGAAGGTACGATGGAGGGTCGTATGTACCAGACTTTTCCAGAAGCGCGTAACTAGAAGCTTGTTTTAAGCTCAAGAATTCTCGTTCGGCAGGAGTCGACGCAGATGTGAGGAGGTAGTAGAAGACGTCGAAAGCTCGATATCCTGGTTCGGATGGAAGGTTTAAAAGCCCCTTTTTGGTATCAATTCCACCCTCGGATAATGCTATCGACGCAGCGGTAAGATTTCCAGCAAGGGAAAGAGTCAAGGTCACACCAAGAGCAGATTGACGAGGTGTAGCTGGGTTTTGAGGAGAGACACAGTGAATAAATGGTCGTAACACCTCAAGGGCGGTATATAATGAGTCGGGAATGGTCAGAGGGAGCGTGTTGAGGAAAGGAGCCAAAATGGAAGGAGTAGACTCGTGAAGAGAACTATGATCTAGTTAGCTTTGAAATCCGAAGAAGGTTCAATGGACCTCGTACCCTAAAACGATACAACCATCTTCCGCACGTCTTCTAGCATGTTCCCAAGCTCGTGCGGCCAAGGCTGAATCTATTACACCTCCCGCTCTCCCTTCACGATCAGGTAGTGAAGCAGATAACCAAGTGTTTACAACTAAGCTACTGCTAGCATCCAATCGATATGGTTGGCCAGATGTGTAAATGTGGTGAACGGCGTTTAACAGTGTCGTTGCTGTTACTTGAGATGATTGTTGACCCGCAGCGTGAAAGTGTCGAGCGGCTCCTGTAGCAGAAGAGGTCATGGAATATGTTGACATTCGATTGTTGCCCGCCATCGTGTAATACAGATGGGGGGGGGTTTTCCTCCCTCACTTCGATCTCAAAGCCTTATTTGTTGATTTCAATGTTTTCCAACACTCCAACACTCAATATTCTTTCCCAAATCAACCCCTTTCTAAGATTTTTTTGTAGCTGAAATGTCTTCGATATCAAGAGTCTCGGCAGTCGCGTTCTTTTGATATTGATTCAATAGTATGGATATGGGAGGTTAACCGGTGTTATTTTGATTCTAAAGGGAGTCTTCTTTCTTATGTGATCGCTGAGCAAGTGTAAATTGGGTTGATGCAAGTGCACAAAAACGAGAGTTGGGAATGAATATTAAAAGGATGATAAAAAAGTACTGAATGGACTGGAACAGCCTTCACCAAACGAATGAGGTGAATTAGATGGAATCAATGGCACCCAAAATGGAGAAGTCGGAATGAGATGAGGAAAATGCAAAAGCAAAAAATGATAGGAATGTTCTGTTCATACCAACTGCACTGGCTGGTACTTGAGAATAACTTCTTTTGGGTTATGGGTTATGGGTTATGGGTTAGAATGATTACCGGGGAGGGTAGGGTAGGCAGGTAGGATGATTACCCAGCAGGAAAGGGTACTACGGTAGACGATAGTGACATCCCCTGGAATGAAAATAAATAAAGAGAGAGCTAGTGGGAAGTGGTAAAATGGTCAATGGTCAATGGTCAATGTCAATGGTCAATGTCAATGGTCAATAGTCAATGGACAATGGACAATAGTCAATGGCCACTACAGATTAAACATCTAAACATTACCTACCTAGTAGCTACGAAGTCCGACCTGCAACCTACGGACTTTCCAACCTACCATCTGCACGCTACCTAGGTACCCGTACCGGACGGGAATTCTTTTCTCTTTTCCTCTTCCAGTGCGCCAGTCCCAAGCCAAGTCTCCCTATGGTGGCTCAATCAATGCCTTTTGCAGAACATGGGTCCATGGGTCCAGGGATTATTTATGTTAAACTATCGTGCTAAGCCGCATGTTGGGAAAGAAGAAAGAGATCAATACGAGACTTGCGGTGGTTGGATCAATGCTGTTTTAATCTTTGCATTTGATCTCCCGAGGAGGAATTTAAATGATATACATGATACTCGTTCTGGACACATACTCTGTGGTTGTGGCTATCAGAGATTCCAAGGAAGGTTCCTCATACAACTTAATTGCCACTCTCGAGCCACTGCATTCAATGCATGGAGAGGAAAGAGTACCTACCTACCTCGCGTCTGCCAGTCTGCCTAGGTAGTCTAGGTAGTTGGACCCTTTGAATCGTTACGATATACATAACATATTAACGGTTGACGATTGACGATTCGCCTTCCGCCATCCACCATCCACCATCCACCATCCACCTTCCACCTTCCACCGTTCACCACCCTTCCGATCCAATCGTATTCTCTCAATATCTTCCTCAATGAATCCATACCTACCCTATGGTGGTCCATACCTCGTGCCTACACCTCGTACCTACTACCTACCCAAGTACGAGTATTTTAAAACAGCGACAAACTTCACGTTTATTTTAAGAAATCCACATGTACTAGGGAGCTTCTTAGTTTTCCATAGTCGAAGTCTATCGAAGACAATATCGTAACTACGTGCCCCATCGTGAGACATTTGAGAATTCAGACCTGATCTTTGCAGCGCTATCTTCACATATGATTTAAACGACCTTGCGATCTAACACATTTTGGCATTTCAATTATAGATCAATCACTCAAAGTGTTCCCAAAGTTGCCCATAGCTTTGTGAATCCTTACTCCATCAATCCATCAACCTAGGTACCTACACTGTCTGTCCATCCTCCGAGTCTCCCTAGGTGCGCTCGACGTGCTTTGCTTGGATCATCATCTATCACCAAAGGTATGTACATGCAAGCGCCGAGTCCTCTTTTCACACACCTCACAGTGATCATGCAGTTGGAAGATATGTGAAGGGGATACAATCCCTCGGTAGGCCATACTGTAGATAAATTATTCATCTGCCTACGAACAGAAAACTGCACAATTTGGTATCCATTTAATAACAAGCATCTTCGAATGATTTCGAAAGTCAAAGATTGATGCTTGAAAGAAATAAGGGGCATATGGTTGTATGTAGTATATACCTAATAGATGACTATAAAATTAACCCTGCTCAGTAATCAATCCAGCAATCAATCGATCCATATTATTTTTGCCTGGATCTATAATCTATTAAAGATACTCGGAGTCAGTTGTTGTTTGAAGATCTACCCACATTTGACTTACCCCTTGGCTAAGTTGGCTTACTCATTAAGCAATGGAACTGCTGGAAGGAAATTTTGGGCGGACGTCGCGTCTCTAGAACTTCCTCGGAACGATCCCCCCCCAAAGCCCCACTATATGTATGTTGAGTTGTTGACGGGCGTCAAAATTAAAATACCGGTAGAAGGAAGAATGGAGGCGGAAGGCAAGACGCCTTGAAGTGTACTGGGGAGGGGGGATCTTGGGGGGATGGGTGTATAGTACTCGAGTACGATGTAGGTATGGATTTTATATTATATGCGTGTACCTTAATATATAATAAAAGCAGTCAATTTTGCAAGAGGAGAAAGGAGTAAATCAAAAGCCGAGAGCAGGATATGTACTATGTATGTGTGTGTGTGTGTGTGTCAATTATCGATACATAACATGATACGCTGGTATCACATAACCACATATAAAAACGGACATTGGATATTGTGATGCAGTATTATACCTATTAAACCTGACTTTCCTGTACTTCGTAAAAGATGTTGATGGGCGAGATGGGCCAGATGGGCGAGATGAGCGAGATGGGTTGATGCTTGTGATACCCATCTACCTCGTACTTGATCGCTTTCTCTGATGCAATCAGTCCCTAGGAGTCCTGATAATATGTGGATCGGCTGGTCTATCTATCATCCATCCCCATCCCATTCGTTCCCTCGAAATTCCCCATCACTTCCTCTTCTCTTCCATTCGACTCCTATCATGCCAAGCGTGCCAATCAATGGGGAATGTTCGAAGCGATGAAGAAGGCTTTTCATAATAACATTGTGCGAGCGAGTGAATGAGCGAGTGAGTGAGAATAGCTTGAGATGAGTACCTATGATGACCTATGATTCGATTAAGTCCTTTGTAAGCATTTGTTATTGATTGGTGGCTGTGTATGATCTTTGATTATCTAGTATGCGGGTATGTTGATTTGTTCCTCAATGATCATCCGCTGGATTTCTCGTGTTGATGGAATAATATAAAAAATCTGGAACGAGGTGGTGGCGTGTAGCTTTTTTTTCTATGGAGCACGTTCGTTCGCGTTCGGGGGATTTCTGAATGTTTAAGTCTTCTGGATTTTCTTTTCCTCCGAGTCTTATTCTTATTGTTGGATCTTCCAAATAACCTTATGTGGTGAGCTGTCTGAGGCGGGATTTAAGCTCTTTCGCAAGTTTAAATAAATTGCCGTGCTGTTCTCTCCCTCTCCCTCTCTCCTTACTATATCATATGTCTATATGAGTGTCATTGAGTGAGCACTATGCACTATGCACCATGTACTATGTAATATATCCTCCGTCCGTATTTCTTCATGGCGCAACTCCCCTGCTGATGTAAACCCTGGTCGTTCCTCCTTAAAATAGTTCACACACGAGAAATGTTAAACCCCAAGTAATGATTACGGTAGACCATAACAACATCGAATCTCCAAAATCCCAAAATATTCATCTAACCCTGTAAACATTAAACCAAATCATCTTCTCGTACCTACCTACCCAAAATATTTCCCTTGACTTGCTGCTTGTAGGAAAAGGAAAGTCCATTGTTTTTGGGTAAAAAGAAGGGATTCACAACTTTTCCCCCTTCAACATCAACATCAACATCAATAACATATTCATTTCTTTTTCTTTTGGATTGCTTCCTTGAACCTTTTTTTTGGGCAATTTTGCAATACATTCGCTTTCATCTGTTGCTCATAATTCACTCGCTATTTAGTCCGTTTTTAATAGAGTCTTTCGTTCTCTTCAAGAACTTGAACCTGAATTACCCCTTCGCTGACCCAACATTTACCCCCAAACGCGGTCCAATATCTCAATATCGATCATACTTCTTACTCGAGATTTTCAGAGGATCGATTATACATTGACGCAAAAACATAAAAGTTAAGGGTTTCGACCCAAATCCATCCATCATGGCTCTCAATAATCCAAGTAGCGGAGCTCACTCGCAGCCATCCCTTCCTGCCTTGCCAGCCCATTTACAATCAGACACACATTTAACTGCACATCTTGCGAGTCGATTTCATGTTTCATTACCAACGGCAGATCTGTCCTCTCATGCCTTAATATCTCTCAACACATATTCTTCGTCGACAAAAGGTCCAGATGGAGGTAAAGAAGGGAGTGCAATGGGGGGCGCCGAGGGCATGGCCGACAAGGCGTACACAAGACTTGGGGCTAGAACTGAGAACCAAGCCGTAGTCTTCTTGTAAGTGGAAGATGTTATATTCATGATTCCCCAAAACGTATTACTAATTGGACAAACAGAGGAGAATCAGGATCCGGTAAAACCACCGTTCGTTCCCATTTGCTTTCTGCTTTACTGAGCAAATCCGGTACACCTCTTTCCACCAAGTTATCTCTGTCCGCATACGTCTTCGATACTCTCACATCTACTAAAACAGCTACCACCCCAACCGCTTCGAAAGCAGGTCTGTTCTTCGAGCTTCAATACGATACAGCATCAACAGTCAACCCAACCTTGATTGGTGGAAAGGTTCTCGATCACAGATTAGAAAGGAGTAGAGTTGCGGCTGTACCGACTGGAGAGAGGAATTTTCATGTGTTGTATTACCTTTTAGCTGGTACCAGTGCCGCTGAGAAGGCACATTTGGGACTAGATTCATCCGCAGACCATGGAGGCGCCGGTAATCGACTTTCTACTGGAGGCCAAAAGAGATGGCGATACCTTGGTCACCCAACGCAACTCAAAGTGGGAATCAACGA